TGCTTTTCTCTAGAGAGTAATGCTGGAAAATGTATTCCCCTACAGCTGTTACCATCCTGCATTTCTGTAGAGAGTAATACTGGAAGTTGTAGTCCCCTATAGCCGTTACTATTTTGCATTTCTGTAGAGAGTATTGCTGGGAGTGGTAGTCCCCTAAAGCCGTTATCATTCTGCATTTCTGTAGAGAGTAATGCTGGAGGTTGTAGTACCCTATAGCCGTTACTATTCTGCATTTCTGTAGAGAGTAATGCTGGAGGTTGTAGTACCCTATAGCCGTTACTATCTGCATTTCTGTAGATAGTATTGCTGGGAGTTGTAGTCCTCTATAGCCATTACCATTCTGCATTTCTGTATAAAGTATTGCTGGGAGTTGTAGTCCTCTATACAGAGAATGGTAACGGCTATAAGTGAGCAGGGCAAGCATTGTAAGAGCCAAGGGGGAGGGGGCCCAACAAAATCTTGCACCGGGGCCCAATATTCCATAGGTCTGCCACTGTGAGCCAGCATTTCAGTTCAGGTAATGAATGCTCGCCCTTTATAATGCCTGCACAAAGATGGCTCTGTCCTTCTGAAGACAAAAGCAGAAGAAGGCATTGTCAAGGGGAGTAGTGTGATATCTGTAAGAGGTTAAAAAAAATAACTGTAGGTGTTATACTAGCACAATATGTAGCATATTTGCACTTGAAATGGAAAAATGTATCCAATGCACTTTAAAGCAGCTTACAATCTAATGTGTCTACCACATTCATATAAATTCAGAAATACAGGGGTAATTTACTAAAGGCAAATAAGCTGTTCACTTTGCAAGGGAATTTTACCTTAGCTTAGTGAATTGAGTGAAGCTCATTCCATCATCCAATCATGTAAAAGCAACGTTTTTTTTTGTTTGTTTTTTTCATGCATGTGATTGGGTATTCTAAGCATAGTGAACATTCATTTGCATAGTGGACAGCCTATTTGCTTTTAGTAAATCAGCCCCATACAGAGTACACAATCAATGTATTTACCAGAAGTATCTTCTGAGGAACTCTTTCAGTAATAATCAGGGTTCTAAGCATGTTATGCTATAAAATAAGCTTATAGAGTCATTGTAATTACAACTCTTTCTAAAAGTCATCTCCCTAGGCAAAATTGACTGATAACACATTCAATTGTATGATGCATTATCATAAAAATGTATAACCTGCTAATTATACACATTTGAAAGCATAATGTTAAAATTGCGTCCTTAGGTTTGTTGTAATTTCTGATTGCCTAATTATTATTTTACAACCACCAATGTTTAGTGGGTTTGTCTAGGCATTTCTTAATAGACTATTTTTTTTTTTGTTTTTTTTTATTGCCTGGTGACAGTCATTCCTGTAAGACAGGAAAGTTAAACGGGGAGTTAAATCATCTGCTGATTTTTTTAATCCCTTGGAGAATCTAGTGATATGATTTCTGCAGTTGTGTTCACAGGCCTGTCCCTTCAAGGTGGACAAGCATGGAGGCAGTGGGGTTGATTTGCTAAAGGCAATTAGGCAAAGGAAATTTGCAATTTTGGAGGGGAAGTTTTCTCTAGCTTAGTGAATGAGGAGATATTTCACTTGCAAACAATACCCAATGATGAGCAAGGAAAATTTAAAAAAAAACTATTTTTGCTTGAAAATTATTAGCTAATGGAAGCCAGCAGAACTTTCCCTTATTCACTAAACTAAGGGGAAATATTCCCTGCAAAGTGCAAAATCCCTTGCTAAGTGAACAGCCTATTTACCCTTAGTAACTCTAGTGTGTGTCTCAATCTATAACTGAACTCTTCAGTTTTAATGGACTAACCCTTTAAATTGATACTATATGCATTTACCTTCCCCGTGCACCTCTGCCATCCTAGCCTGGAGCTCGGAAACATAACTATTCAATCCAGGTTTGGGGGATTACATTCCCCCTTCCTCCCCCTTCCCACACACACAATGCAGCACTGAGTGATTGGGCATTCTATTACCAGGCATGAGAGCTAACAAATAGGAGCTGTGGGGAGCTTGCAGTTCTTGCATTAGCTTACATGTGACTTTCATGTACCCGGCAGCAGATTAGAGCTTGGCAGGGAAGCATGAATATGTAAACACTTGCTCCTCTATGGTACCTGTAATAAAATAAATATATTACTTTGCCTAGTATGGACAAAGTACAGGTTAGCTTTAACTATTGTCACTATAGTCATTTGACCAATTTGCAGTGTCAAGATGAGCTAATTGTGATAAACCATAAACGATACCACAGTTCATTGACCTCTCATTTTTTTTCAGTCTTGTCATGTCTCATCAAATAAGAAGTGAGAATAGCCTGTTACCTTTGCCTTGCCTTTCTGAAGAACCATCTAAAACTTCAAATGATAGATTATCTTCTGCAGCAAAATGTGATGGGAATGGCTTACACTCTTACATCTCTTGCAGCCAGCACCACAGGCCAGAGAGCCAGTCTTATGTTGAGCAGGTAGGCTCCTTTGTAAGACCCATGTCAATTTAAGAAAATCTATTTACGTCTACTGGGTTTTAATTTAGGTTATGAATTTATAAGTCTTTGGTTGTAGTTAGTAAGCAGTGTACACCTTATCAGACATAGCTATCACAATTACTGTATATGTTATAACTAAATGGGAACATTGACTGAGCACCTCCATGAAAAAAACAATATTAAAAACAAAGGAAATTGCACATTTTAATTAGTTTGTTAAACAAAAATATTTACAGTATAATTTCCAATATTGCCAAAATTGAGCTTCTGGATCTCTTTCACTTGGTTATGCTTCATTTTTTTTTCTTGGTACATTCACTTTGTTTAATTTTAGAAACTGGTCATCCATACATAAGGCAGAGTTACAATTTAAAATATTTACACACAAAAACATGGAATTTTGGTGATATATTTACAGATATATGAAACAAAACTGGCTTTCAGAGTGTCCCTATTAATAGGAAAACTAGGCCTATGATACCCTTTATTATAATAGGTTGTAATGTATTAAACTTCCTACAGAAATGTACTGTAAGTGCAGAAGAAACCCAATTTTATATATATGGTCTATCAACGAGCCATTTACTTGTCTGTGCAAATTTCTTCTTGAGCTGTAAATATGCATTAATTCGAGAAGCAAAGGGGAGACTGAAAATGTAAAAAAGGGGTTGACACTCCACGCGCAAAATATGCACGTCACCTAACCCCACCTTTGCAATTAACCTGGTCCCTAATATTAATTCTAAACATTTAACATCCCCCTCCCCGGCACTTAACCCCCTAACCCATAACTGCAACTCTAACACTTAGATAAACCCCTAAATCCTTTAGCATGTCACTTTAATCTCTAACTAACCCCTCTACCAGAATATTTCCCTGTTCACCGAGGGGCTCTCAGGCTAGCAGTAGCAGTTCACTGCTTGATATCTCTTGTTATCTATACTGCAGAATTGCTCGTTATGTTAATTGAGTGTACTAAATAACAGTCTAGTAATTGTACCTTTTATTTTTAGAGATCGCTTCCTGTTCCCTTAGAGAGTAACATCTCTGTAGGTTACAGAGAAGACACTCAGTCAGATATGTGGTCATATGGTTTTAATCGACATAAGGATGGAAGGAAAACTATACAGTCTCTGGACAACACAAGGTGAGTTTAACCACTACAATATTGTTTGCCTTTTTTATGTTTTCTATCTATAGTTAATTGTATCTTTTATTTTAATCTGTTACTACATAATTGCTAAAGATTAATGTGAAAATATGAAAAAAGTTGGTAGCCCTTGGGTGCTATTGACTGTGTTGTTCAGGGTGTTTAATCACATGTCATTTGTAACCTTAAAATCAGAGTTCAGATATCAGCTCATCCTTTCTCTAAAGGCTGGAATTCTGGGACCATATCTTTGTTCTCCCTGTCTTGAAAGACATGTAGTTGGTGAAATATTTGTTGGGTAGGGAGAATGACACTGTAGTTTATATTAAGAGTGTCAGGGAATAGTTTGGAGAGAATGGAGCGAAGATGATTAACTCTGATGGTTAAAGTAAAATGAAACCTACCAAAAAAACAATCCCAAGTACATTACGTAGTTCATATATTTGCCAATCTATTACTCTTTAGAACTTTCTGTTGGGGAGATTGCACTCTGTGTACCCAGTCTCAATAGCACAGCATGTGTCTATCTATTAGCTTTGAGGAGGCAGGAGCAGGGGAGGAACTTGCGGTCCTAGAGTTTCCGGCTGTTTTGTCTGTGTTGATGTACACAGCTCCCTGGCTAGGAGAGTGCATGTAAGGGGAGCTCCAAATGACCTTATAAGGGAAAGGAGCCACACTAAAACCAGAAAGCTTTGTGGAGTGACCCACCTAAATCCAGAGTATAGGACAACTTCAATACTAAAAGAAGCAGCCTATACTGTAAGTCATCGAAAGTAGGAGTTGCTAAAAGAAATTAAACTTTAATATCACTTTAAGCTTTAGATACTTCTCAGACATCCAAAGCGAACTGGCTAAGGTAAGGTAAAGTGAAATATTTTAGAACTAATTGAAAAGAGAAAGTTTTCAAAAAGAGTCTTGGGAAACTCCAACAAAGATTAGTGGACAGAGAAAGAGAAGTCCTTAAAGGAGATATTCAAGGAAATGTCCAGTAAATACAAGCAGAACCATGCGATGGAAATGTTCCAAATAGGTTAGAACGTTATGGTTAGGGTGCAGGAAAGCCAAGTTCCTAAGAACAGCAATTAAGTTACAGAATCAAGTGATAACAAAATCAAGATTGTGTTCAGCAATGTTTGTGGGACTGTGTATGTGTTGTGACCAGCCAAATGGCATGGATAAAGCCACGTTTCACTGAGGGGATGGATGCTTAGACAGTTCCAAGTGCCTGATCATAATGCTGTATTTTTAGAGGAGCTGCTTTTACTGGAAACCCCATTCATTTCATTCATAGCCTTAAAGTCACTAGCCTGTTATTTTATTTTTATATACTAACACACTGGTTCTCAACTGGTGGGTCATGTTCAGTGGTGAAGACACTCAGTCAGATATGTGGTCATATGGTTTTAATCGACATAAGGATGGAAGGAAAACTATACAGTCTCTGGACAACACAAGGTGAGTTTAACCACTACAATATTGTTTGCCTTTTTTATGTTTTCTATCTATAGTTAATTGTATCTTTTATTTTAATCTGTTACTACATAATTGCTAAAGATTAATGTGAAAATATGAAAAAAGTTGGTAGCCCTTGGGTGCTATTGACTGTGTTGTTCAGGGTGTTTAATCACATGTCATTTGTAACCTTAAAATCAGAGTTCAGATATCAGCTCATCCTTTCTCTAAAGGCTGGAATTCTGGGACCATATCTTTGTTCTCCCTGTCTTGAAAGACATGTAGTTGGTGAAATATTTGTTGGGTAGGGAGAATGACACTGTAGTTTATATTAAGAGTGTCAGGGAATAGTTTGGAGAGAATGGAGCGAAGATGATTAACTCTGATGGTTAAAGTAAAATGAAACCTACCAAAAAAACAATCCCAAGTACATTACGTAGTTCATATATTTGCCAATCTATTACTCTTTAGAACTTTCTGTTGGGGAGATTGCACTCTGTGTACCCAGTCTCAATAGCACAGCATGTGTCTATCTATTAGCTTTGAGGAGGCAGGAGCAGGGGAGGAACTTGCGGTCCTAGAGTTTCCGGCTGTTTTGTCTGTGTTGATGTACACAGCTCCCTGGCTAGGAGAGTGCATGTAAGGGGAGCTCCAAATGACCTTATAAGGGAAAGGAGCCACACTAAAACCAGAAAGCTTTGTGGAGTGACCCACCTAAATCCAGAGTATAGGACAACTTCAATACTAAAAGAAGCAGCCTATACTGTAAGTCATCGAAAGTAGGAGTTGCTAAAAGAAATTAAACTTTAATATCACTTTAAGCTTTAGATACTTCTCAGACATCCAAAGCGAACTGGCTAAGGTAAGGTAAAGTGAAATATTTTAGAACTAATTGAAAAGAGAAAGTTTTCAAAAAGAGTCTTGGGAAACTCCAACAAAGATTAGTGGACAGAGAAAGAGAAGTCCTTAAAGGAGATATTCAAGGAAATGTCCAGTAAATACAAGCAGAACCATGCGATGGAAATGTTCCAAATAGGTTAGAACGTTATGGTTAGGGTGCAGGAAAGCCAAGTTCCTAAGAACAGCAATTAAGTTACAGAATCAAGTGATAACAAAATCAAGATTGTGTTCAGCAATGTTTGTGGGACTGTGTATGTGTTGTGACCAGCCAAATGGCATGGATAAAGCCACGTTTCACTGAGGGGATGGATGCTTAGACAGTTCCAAGTGCCTGATCATAATGCTGTATTTTTAGAGGAGCTGCTTTTACTGGAAACCCCATTCATTTCATTCATAGCCTTAAAGTCACTAGCCTGTTATTTTATTTTTATATACTAACACACTGGTTCTCAACTGGTGGGTCATGTTCAGTGGGTCGCCACATGCCTTCTACTTTTCTAGGTGAGAGACTCCTCTGCCTCCCTCTAGCGCAGCACCGTTAGTTCTCGTGCCAAGTAGCCGTTCAAAATATGCTGCCCAGCCCTGAATGTCTCCTTGAGGTGGGCTGGAAGTATGACTACAAGGGAGCTCCATCCATACGTGCATTTCTTACAGCTCCCAAATGTGCCCTGTAGGGGTGCCTGGACTGGACTGATGCCACATTCTGGCTCCTGTCACCTCTACAGGGCACGTAAGGGAGCTGTACAAACAATGCACATATGGCTGGAGCTCCATCACAGCAGCCTATACTGGAACCCAGGCTGATGATCCACTCCAGTTCTCATGAAGTAGGGAGACGGGGTGGATCTTTAAAAAAAGGAAAAAAAAAATATTTTTGAATCGAAATGAATCGATTAATCGATTTAAAAAAATTTGATTAATCGAACAGGAAATTTTTAATCATTACCAGCCCTAATTTTTTGGAATGTGTATATGTGTTTGAGAATATATGTTAGTGTGTGAGATTGTGTCTGGTTTTGTGTCAGTCAGTGTTTTTGGGCATCCGTTCACAGTAGTACAGTGCATTAATCGTACAGTCCCATGCAATTAATGTGCAGTACCACGCAATCGCACCACCTGCGTGTTCTGGCATGTAGGGTGCGTTGTGTTGCCATTATTTTGAATGACACCTCAAACGCACCTCCCACCCATAGTGGGATCGCCTGAACCCTAACGCCCGGTACTGCAATGCCGTGTATTCCATTGCAGTGCGACTTGGGTCGCGGCTTAATGACCAAGGGCAAATGTGGGTTTAGCAGGTTGAGAACTGCTGGCCTAACAGACTGTTCAAACGGGAATGATAGATAGATAGATAGATAGATAGATAGATAGATAGATAGATAGATAGATAGATAGATAGATAGATAGATAGTAAATGTTAAAGCCGAGCTGTGACAACAAGTATCTTCCTTTTCTCTTTATGAAGAACTCGCAATGCTGATTACTTTATGCAGGAAGCTAAACGGATGAAGCATAAAGCAGATGCTATGGTAAGAACGCTTTCTTCTTTAGACAGAATATGTTAAATTAATTTTTGCTAGCATTTTATGTGCATGAACTTATCATCAGCACAACTGCCAAACATAATTATAAAAACCTATTACAAGTATGACTGGCTTTGTTAAATTCAGAAATGGCTGTATTGTTGAGTGCTTTTGCTAAACAATGGCTTGAAAAATAAGTAATTAAGTATTCTCAGAATAAGAGGTTTGTTCAAAGGTAGACTTTTAATGAATAGTATACATTTTGAAAGAACTGCTCTGGTTTATTTAGATGGACTGTATTGCTTTTGCTAAAGTCTTAGTGGTGACTGTCCTCCCTGCTACCATATTCCAATTGGAGTCATGCTTTTTTTTAGTAAAGTGAATACAATAGGGTATTTGGATTTATGTATTAATTTCCTGCCAATTAGTAAAACATATTCAAAACACTTTACAGATATCACACACTGAACAGGGTACATCATCCCATGCCCCAAATAAATTTACAATCTAAAGTGTACAGATGCAATACAGCAACAGAAGCATATTGCCTAGGGCAAATTTGGGTGGCAGCTATTCAACCTGCCAGTACTTGAAGGAAACCTGCTGAAGGATCTAGCTGTAGCTTCGGCTGATCCTTTGGCTAGCTTCGGCCCCAGGACACCTTCGGTTCAGTACGGGCTGTATTCACTATAGCCCCACAGCTCCCAAAGTTGCCCGAGCCGAAGGCGTATGCCTTGGCTCGACTGAGCCGAGGTGAAAGCCGAAGCTGGCCGAACGGCTGGCTATTGGCCGGCCGACAGACTGCCACTGACAGTTGGGCGGAGCCAGCCATCATCTCACGGCTGGCTCCAGCCACTTGCAGAGACAGATTAGTGTCCCTGGTTACGAGGTAACCAGGGACGCTGATCTGTCATTACTCTCCCGTACGCTCATAGGAATGCATAGCTAGATTCCTATTGGCTATTTCACTTTGCAATAGCCAATAGCAAACTAGCTATTGCACCCACCCACTGCTGCTGTCAATCAGCAGAGGGGGACCTGAAGTTCTCCATCAGGTCCCCTTCTAGTGATTGACAGCAGCACAGGGCGGGTGCAATAGCTAGTTTGCTATTGGCTATTGCAAAGTGAAATAGCCAATAGAAATCTAGCTATGCATTCCTATGGTGGCTTTTTTTTAATTCTGAGGTCAGCAGAACCGCCCGGCCCATAGAAAACAGTTGGGCAGAGCTAGCTGTCACTGCTAGCTCCGCCCAATCGTTTTCTATTTGGTTTTTCTACTTTTTTTAACTATTTTTCTATTCTGCTCGGTACCACAGAGGTACCGAGCAGAATAGCCGAGCCGAATGGCGAGCGAAACGCCGATTGCACCACAGATATTTGGTATCACTGCAAACGTGAAATAATTTTGCATTGTGAATTAATGACCGAGGACAAATGTGGGTCCTGAGGTTACACAGGTTGAGAACAACTGATGTAGAGTATGTTAGATTGTGCAGATGCAAGATTTTTTTTATCACAAAACAGAACTATGCTGCCATCTAGTGTCTAAATATATAATGAGAAGAGTATTTGGTGCTGCACAGGTGGCAATATAATATTTTAACAAATTACATCTGTAATATCTTGTAAGACAATTATAAAAATGAGTTATTTACATTTGACATTGTGCTCTCAAAACGTCCATCTTTTGGGGATTTTTCTTGGGCCTGGATCACATAAATAAGTGTCACATAAAAAGCCACTGCATCCTCCTTTTTCGTTGATTGAATCGTAGAAACAATCTTTTAATATAATAATCATATCTTACAAATATCATCAGCTGGGTGTCTCATCTTACGTTAAAATTTGTGCCCATCAAAATAAAAGAGTTAAGATCAGAATATGTAGAAAATTATTTAATTTTTCAAGCAAATTGATCTGTGTATGCTATTGAACAATTATTTTTCAATGATTGATTGATAAATATGATTGCATCTAAAAGAAGTTAAAAAAAAAAGAAAAACACCATAGACGTTTCTATCACTAAACCTAGGAACTTCCCAGGAGATTTTGCACTCATTAAATCTGAGATATTCCAAAGAATTTCAGGATTCATGTCTAGATTCATACAAAGCATATCACCCAATTTCCATTAAAACCCAGGAAGCTGTGTCCAAAAAAGGCAGGCAGGGTGCAAAGGACTAGTCAACAGTATTGCTTTTGGCCTCCCTGCAGCTGAGCTTTTCTCATTACTGACTTACAATGCCTACTTTTGCACTGTGTCTCTGTGTGGGAGGTTTTGCTTTCACATGTCAGAGCCTCCAGCGAGGAAAATAGTGAGCAGAACAGTTGTGACAACACCAGATCTCTCTCCAAATCTCCCAGCACTAACAGTGAGAGGCAGGAATGCCTTAAATCTCACACTGCAGATGGCTGTAGGCTTAGAAGTGCCTAGGCTCCAAGAACTGCAATGCTATTTTAAAAGGAATTCAAGACAAAAGCCATTGTTGCAGTTTACTGCTTAGGCACAATTAATACTTTAGCTGGTCCCTATAGTAAAGCGTTAATAAGTAAGCTAGATTATGAACAAAGTTGGGGAACAAACAAAAATGTTATGCTTTTTTGTTTGATTTGGTAAAGAAAAAATAATTTGGTGTTTATCACATTTTTGGGCTTTCTGCAGTTTAAGAACATTGTAAAATGAATAGCAGTGCCCACAATGATGGATTCAGTATACGAAAACCTGCTGTAATGTTCTAAAAAAATAAATGTGCCGTATTCTATTTGCTGCACTATGCAAATGTTTCTTTTAAATTATTATCTGTTATTATTCTCTCTTCTTTACAAGATGGACAAATTTGATAAAGTTTTGAACTACACAGAAGCCGCTCTTTCTTTCATTGAGTGTGGGAATGCAATGGAACATGGGCCAATGGAATCTAAATCTCCATACACAATGTACTCAGAGACTGTGGAGTTGATACGGTGGGTGTTCAAAAAATGTGTGGATAATTAGGTGTATGTTTGTAAACATGTTTGCATATAGGTAAATACACATAGGGGTGTATTTATTAAAAAAAAATTGCTGACTCATTCGTCCTGGCAAACTGCATGTACATTTGTTCTGTTCAAAAATTATGTTATTAGTATATTTTAATTCCAGATCAAATGTAATGTCAAGAAAATACCCCTTTTTAGCCACTAGATAGACCTGAGGAGCAGGTCCAGGAGCTGTTTATTTCATGGATGATATCAATAATATAATTCATATTTGTATACTTAGGATGCGTTTTTGTAGAGCCCCACAGTATATGCTTTAATGCAAGATTTAATGTATTTATCTAATTAAAAGATCACTTGTTTTCGAGTGCGTACCAAAATATTTACAAACAGTTGATTTGACCAGTATGCTCCTTTTTGTATACTGTATAAAAAGTATAAAAAGTAATATGTTATCCATAGCTTGGACAGCTGCAAAATTACGAAGCCAAATCCATACGTAAATACATTTTTGTTGCAGGTATGCTCTGAGAATAAAATCCCATTCGGGTCATAATGGATCTTCTCTGGATAAGAAAATTACAGCACTATGGTTTGTACATTTCTGTGATACCTCCCACTTATCTTCCACTCAACTGTATTTCTACATTCTATATTTGCTATTAATACACAAAGTTGAGAATGATGGAGTGTGTGTATGTATGCAATTATAAAATTTAACCCACTTTCCCTAGAGTACGACTAAATGGTTTCATCTTTTGATAGTCTTTTATTTTCATATCTGGGTTGAACTTTACCAATAGTTTTTAAATGACAACAAGGGCACCTTTAGAAATGTTTAGTAATGGCAAACCACAAACAGATACATATAGGTAACTGCAGGTTTTTTTATGCTTTGCATATCTTCTTTTTCTTTTCCTCCCCATTCTTCTCACAGTAGCCATTTTTACTAAGGGCAGATAAATCCATCTCCCTTTACTTCCTGGAACTCTGGCACATGTAACTAGGACATGTGACCAAGCACATCATCTCAGGGCAGGAAAATGCCTTTCCCTGAGATCTCGCGAGATTTTGCAGTTTACAGATGAGATTTCCCAGCAATGCTCTGCTGATGCAACCTCCCTAGGATGCATCTCTTAGGCAAAGGCTACATCACTAATGTCTAAGAGGACGAGGAAGTGGAAACCTGTAATTGAAAGTAAAAGAAAAATATGTTTATTTACCTAACAAATGTAAAATGTATAAATCAGCATGCAGAGCTGCATGCTCATGCGAGTTTGAGTGAAACGGGGTAAAGGTAAAGTGGCCGGGTAAAGGCAAAACCAGACCACCCACACGTCGAGAGAACTGCACTTTGTCCAATATCTGCCATCAGAGCATCTGAGAAAGTGCGTCCTCTCGACGTGTGGGCGGTCTGGTTTTGCCTTTTCTGCTCCCCCCAGGAAGCCACTAAGCGGCCAAACATGTTGAGGCACCTGGAGCAACTATCATATCTCAACTTACCTACAAAGAGCAACTAGATCACAGCAACAAAACCTGTATTGTATGTCATATGGACTTTATTCCAGTTACACGTACCTATGCTGTTCATTTGTATTTGATGCAAACCAACTTTTTATGTTGACTTCTAAATAAAATATATGTTTTTAAGATTTTTAACAATCTTGTAGTGAGAACTACGTTCCTTTAAAGCCCCCCTCCCAGGCTTCTGCATACCTGGGAGTGGTAAATGATCGTTTGATCTGTGGTGAATACTCTAGTGTACTGTGGATATTGGGTGTGGTTGGTGATGAACAGTAGGAGTGCATATGTTTTGAATGGAGGTCGGGCAAAATAGATGGTTAGAGGGGTAGGGAAAGTAGTTGTGTAGTTGAGGGGGGCAAGGTGGGGTGGGGAGGAGATAGGAGAGATTAGTAAGGGGAGAGAGAGAAATGGCTGTGATGGGATCCTTCAAAAAAATAGTTATAATGTCACTTTATAAGGACTATTATTCTATTTTGGTTATTGTGGTTGGTAATGAAGGTTACCCATGCTTACAATGGCCCCTGACAACTATCTTTTCTAGCTGCATTAAAGACCAGCAATCACCTTCCAGTAACACTTTCTTCCCTGATATCACTTGCTTTGGCACGATTTCTGGAATTTCAGGAGTTGAAAGTGTGTTCACACAGCCTAGTTTACATGGAGAAAATGTTTGCGCACATTTGCATCGTATGGGTGCATGCACAAATTTTCTTGAACCAGGTTCGAATACATATAAAAATTATAGTCATTGTTTGTTTTTACCACTACCAAACTTTTGACCTTTGCAGTTTTCTGAATCACAGCTCGTGTGTTCCATTTTTAACTCATCACTTTAAAGTGCACTTTTTCATTAAAAAGAACAAAATATGTTTTCATGACATGGCTTGGTATTTCTTCTACCACTGTGCATTACTTTGGTACTGTTGCTGGTTTTTCATCATCTAACTTTTTATATGGCAGCCATATTGTCAAATCTGACACAACTGATAGAGAGAGCATTAAATTGTGGCCATATATAAAAACAATTTCTTCTCACAGTTATCGTTGTCTGGCACTGCTGTACTGGAGAATGTTCCGCCTCAAAAGAGATCATGCGGTGAAGTATTCTAAAGCGCTTATTAATTATTTTAAGGTAGGGAATTAACTGTAATATAAGATATCTCAAACTTTATTTTATTTAATTCACCAATATAATTACATAATGCGAAATGGCAATGTTTACAGAACAAATTAAAGCAAACACCCAGACATAATAACAAGATAATGATGAATAGCTCATTAAAAGATTTTGCTGCAATAATTTGTCCGGAGATTTCTCTGTAGTATTTTTTTTTACCCACTAGATGACCTCAGTATAAAGTCAGAATCATTCAACCCACTTCATCTGAGCCCAGGTTGTCCTGGACCTGCCCCAGTCTAATACTGCTCAGTGAAGAAGAAGAAGAAGAAGCACACTGATGAGCTCATCTCTTTGTCACTTTGCTTTCTCATCCTATCAGCTTCTTGTCAGCACGTGCACTGGCTGGCTTTTTGTATTTCTTCTTCCTCTGACACTTTAGCCCTGCTGTACAGGGATTTCAGAGGCTGATACCAGGAAAAATTCAGGTACTTACAATGCTTGCATTTACAAAATACATTTAAAGATGTATTATTGATTACAGAGCTGCATTCATTTTCATCTTTATTATCTTCTTAAAGTTCATATTTGAGTTTTTAAAAAGGGTAAGTTCACTTTCTCACAAAATGTGAGAAAATTAACTTACTAACTGTACCCCCGCCACCTCTCCCTGGCCCCTGCCGCACATACCTGCATGAATGCCTGCCAGTTGCCCCCGCCAGCCAATGTGTGGTTACAGCCCCGCAGTATGTAATGAGCATAATGTACATAACCACGCTGACCAGTGAGAAGCACTTCTGCCAGAACCTAGTCCCCAGTTCAGAAGCCCTTCTCATTAGTCAGTGTGGTCAAGTGACCATGCTGATCAATGAGCACTTGCCATTTGTGAGCATTATGCTAATTACATACTGCAGGGCTGCTATGTGCGATGTACGGTGTATGAGCTGTACACTGCCTGGCTGGGGATCACACAGGTATATAGGGGGCTGGGAGAGATGGCAGGGTGCTCTCAGGAAGTTCATTTATCACATTTTGCAAGAAAGTGAATGTACCCATTAAGGTGGACCTTTCTTGCAGCTTTGCAAACATTTACCCATAATACAACAGAATATTTGAAATGTGTAGTTGCTGCTAAACAGACTACACAACTCTTTATTCATTCATTTATCAGGAAATGTATATAAATGTAGCTCTTTAATGCAAACAGTGTTTTAAGTACCTTAATTTGACTTGGTATCACCCTCTGGCAACCAGCTGTACAGCAGAATTTAGACTGGGAGAGGGAAAAGCAGCACAGGGAGCCAATTAATTGTGCTGCAGTGCTCATATTCGAACAAGGAACACGCTGACTGGTGGAGAGAGCATAGAGGCGAATTTATCAGTCTGCTGCTTCTCATTCACTGTCCAGTGACAGACAGTGGGAAGGACAGGACCAAGCCGTACTGCTTAACTGCAGTAGAAAAAAAATCAGGTCTGTGGCCCCGCCACACAGGGCGGGGCTGCATGATTGGGCCGGGAAGACAAATGTACAAATTCTTTAGCAGGTAAAACGTGTACGGGCTTTCGACTTAGCTGATCCAACATCTGGATCGGCTAAGCCGAACCTCCGGCAGGCTACTCGCCGCTGTTCGGCCTATTCTCATAGATGCCGAACAGCAGTGAGTAAATAGCCGAATGCTACTTGGCTACCTCTGTGGTACCGAGCAGAATAGAAAAACAGTTAAAAAAGTAGGAAAAAAAAGAAAACGATTGGGCGGAGCTAGCAGTGAACCCTAGCTCCGCCCAACTGTTTTCTATTGGCCGGGACCAGCTGTCATTACAATGGGAGCTTGTTGGAGCCGGCGGTGGTATCAAAGCCGGCTCTGCTGAGCTCTCATGGTACTGATAGATCAGCGTCCCCTGGTTACCAAGTAACCAGGGGATGCTGAACTGTCAGTATCATGAGAGCTCAGCAGAGTCAGCTTTGATATCACCTACGGCTCTGCTAAGCTCTCATTGTAATGCGGGGAGGAGAGAGCACCCCCCTGAAATGATGGCAGAAAGCAGAGGAAGCAATAGCATCTTTGCTATCTGTAAGATGTTTTCTTTTTGTATTCTGACAGCTGCTGCAGTCAGAATAAAAAAAAAAATCAGCATAGGAATGCATAGCTAGATTTCTATTGGCTATTTCAATTTGTAATATCCAATAGCAAGCTGGCTATTGCACCCGCCCACTGCTGCTGTCAATCA